CTCACTCCTTTTTCGTCTTTTTCCTTCTTTGGCTCTGGATGCTGCTATTGCGCAGTGCAAAGTGATGTCTGAGGTGTTTTATCTGTACACAGCATGGAAATTTATCTGGTGATAATCTTCTCAAGATGTTCCTTGAGGATGGTGTATCCGTCTTGCCAAATGTACCGCCGCTTTTCCGCCCACCAGTGCTGCGTTTGTTGTCAGATTACACACATTAGAAAAAACTAATGCAGGCGTTTCTCAGTATTACCCCGTCAGTGCACCACTTCATTCACATCCTCAACGCCCTACCTGAGAACGTTTTCTCCCACTCTGGTGCTGCTGAAACCAGCAGCACCAGAGTGGGAGAACGAGCTGGCGGATTCTCGACCAGGGCCTCGACATGAAGCCGGGCTCTCAGTATGCCTTGCTACAGCTTCTCGGAGACCGACAACTGCCAGGAGAAAGTCCCCTGGAATATCCACGCGCCCTCCAGTTATTGGTATCTAGAGTGGACAATTGCGGGGATTCAAACAGCAAATACTTCTTATTATGCACACGGTTTGTCGGAGGGGTGTTGCCTGGGGATCTCCATACAGATTTGCCACGTCACCTCCCAACCAGCACACCGGAATTGCGGTTAGTCATACTTCGTTTCATGGACGCTGAGAGAGACTGTGCGTCCACATCCAGTGGGTCGCTATGTCCAGTGCTAACAGCGTCAACTGCAGCTGCTCTTACCCCAGCCCATCGTGACCGTCCGAGAACCCAGCAGCGCCAGAGTGGAGACATCGCCACCAGTCTCTGCTGCTATTGTCAGAATCGCCAGCGAACCTCATTTTGTCCCCATTTTTAAAATTATCTACATATTCCTGTAGTCAGCAACCACTAATGTTATGAGGACGCATTAATGGAGTGCCATCTAAAGTGCTCTTGGAAACTGGTGCGTCGGTGTCGCTCGTAAGGACTTAATTCCTCCGACGCTTGCCCCAGTACTCACCGCCAGTTGCCTCTCACAACATTTTGACGGAAGCTAATGGTGCTAAATTAGAAGCCCGACCTGATACATACTTACAGTTGAACCTTGAAGATCTTAATGTCCGTCATCTGAGCCCAGATTACGTGAGACCTGATCATAAGTGTAAATTTTCTGACGTCATACTCCGCCCTTATAGACATCGCCCGTTCCCAGGTTACCATTGATTCCGTCTCCACGCCTTCATATAGCTCTCAGCAACCGACGTCCTCTGAGTCAAGTTTACCTGTGTCCTCTATCCTTAATCGAATTTTTGTCAGCCCATCCGCCCTTGCCCTCATTCGAGGGTAAATGCTAAAGTGAACTGAGAAATATATCGATGTGTGTGATGACGGGGATAACGCGGGTCGCACCGATGTTGTCCAACACCGTATTGACTCGGGCGGTCATCCGTCTGTTCGCCAACCAATCCATACACTATCAGCCTCAGTTGAATGCTCTAATTCAAGATATGTTGGACAAAAGTATCATTGTATTCTCCTATTCTTCGTGGGACAGCTCTCTTCGAGTGTGTATTGATTATCGCAAACTCAACTCCGTGACCAGACGTGGCGCTTTCCCTATCCCACTCATCGATGCAACTCTCGATGCACTTGCTGCTTCGCAATGGTTCTCTGCGTTAGATCTGGCATCCGGGCACTGGAAAGTAGAAGCGTACTCGGACGATTGTCCGGAGAATGCTTTTATACTCTTAAGTGGTCTATACAAATTCCGAATAATGCCCTTCGGGCTATGTAATACTCCCGCCACATCTCAGCGCTTGATGCATGTAGTCTTTGACAGGTTGGTCCCACATAGGTGTCTAATCTATCTTGACGATAATATTGTATATGGAAGGTCCCTAGAGGACCATACTGATAACCTCCGGGTTGTCTCTGCGAGTTTAAGTACAAACGGTTTTAGGTTGAAGCCTCCTAAGTGCTCCTTTCTACAGAGAGAAATCACATCTTTGGGTCACCGAATCTCACTAAATGGCATACAGACAGACCCAGAGAAAACACGTCTTATCGCAGAATGACCTTCACCCCAATCTTGTAAAGACGTTCATAGCCACCTATGTTTGGCATCGCTCCTGGATTTGTTACCCTTACCTCGCCTCTGCATCGGCTGACAGAAAAAGGCTGTGAATTCTTATGGACTAATGAGTCCTAATGTGCGTTCGTTGAGTTAAAGAAAAACTTGACGTCAACTCCTATCCTTGCGTTTCTAGACATGTCCCCATCACCTGGTCCTTTTATATTGGACGTGGATGCAAGCGCTAATGCTATTGGGGCCGTCCTCTTCCAAGTGGCAACTGATGGTCGAGAACGCGTTATTGCGTATGCCGGACTAAAGCTAGACAAACGTGAAACACGTATTCGGCTACACGAAGGGAGATGCTTAACCTCGTTCATTTTAACAAGGAAATAATATATATTTATTCCTGTTTATGCAGGAATATACCAATTGTACAGGCATGGATAATTTATTATTTAAATTACACATATTTTTTTGTGTGGTGAATTTACAGTTTGGTTGTTCTTTCCGACATTAGAGTCAGTCGGAACAGTCTGCTAGTCTGTTTGTGTAACACATAAAGAGATATAGAAATATTGTCTTCGCATTAACCAAAAACCTAGACATCGGATTAATGTAATACAAATATCTGGGGAAAAAAGCTCGTAGTCAACTCTCCTATATAACTTTGTTGTGAACAGCATCCTTGACTTAAAGTTTATTGATGTATTATGTTGAGATCATTGATATATTTATTCCATTTTTTCAGGAGTATTATCGTGGTTTTATAACAAGAAAGAAATTTGTTCGTGGATACGAAAACTAGTTAAGGTCAAGTTAGATTGTTTTACGGCATCAAGCACTTTCGACATCATCTCCTTGAGCACTCATTTCGAGTACGCACTGACTACTGTGCACTACAATGGCTCCGGACATTCCATGAGCCAGAAGGTCAGGTGGCTCGTTGGCAAGAACGTTTGCAAGAATTTGATTTCACCTGCGAGTACCGCCCAGGTTCCCGGCATGCTGACGCCAATGAGTTCTCTCGATTGCTAAATTGTGTTTCAAGGGTAAATGCTATACTTAATGCAGGCACAGATGTTGATCTGGCCGCACTGCAGGCGGCTGACGTAGATATCCAACCTGTATACTTGCAATAGCTTCATGGGGACGATAAACCATCAAATAAAGAAGAGTTTATCTGACATACCACGATGCATCTGTGGTAAGTGGGGTGTGTCACGATTGATTGACGGTATCTCGTATATAGCGAAATTATCTTCGTCGCCTCGCCTTCTCGTTCCACGTTTGAAATTTACGGAGGTGGTTCAACTCGTGCACCACCAACTTGCTCATGCTAGTCAACAAAAAACCGAACGCACTCTCCGTCAACACTTTTGTTGGTCGCTTCTTCAACACGACGTCACTGAGATCTGCCGCGATTGCGCTACATGTGCACAGATTAGGCAGCCCAAACCGACTTCCCGAGCATCATTAGTTCTCATGCTAACCGAAGCCCCCAACCACCGAGTTGGGATAGATGTCCCGGCGTCGAGACGTGGTAATCGCTACATACTCGTCATGGTCGATTACTTCACTATCTTTTGTTATCTTCTCCACATCGATTTCTTGCTGGATAGCGACCTGATTATTTGAAAGGATGGTTGATTTCATGCTTTTGATATCCGGGAAGATAGATGCTTGTCAAGCACAAGTTTGCCATAGTGACGCTATTAAGAGACTATGACGAGTTCACTATATTTGTGTAAAAATAGAATTTGGGCACCGTGGTGGAATACAGTTCTATATCAAATAAATGTAATGTATAAATCAATACATGTAATGTGTAAGCCAGCTGAAGTTTCTCAAATGGAAATCCGATTAAGATCACCATACATAATCTGGATTCGCTAAACGTCAAGTCAACTTTTCAGACGTAAATGTCTGTGGAACAAACTTTGAGTTGGCCGTAGTTAACAAAATGTCCGATTTGAGGAGACATCAAATTGATAAAACGCAGGAAATGATAATAACTTATTCTGGTAGCGAAACCAGTGTTACTTTCTGGACGAGAAATGTGCGCCTGCCTGACGTTTTGATATAATGAAGGAAACCAGTAGTAATTTGATAAAGAGCTAGGATTGTTAAGGTTTATTGTTGAACATAGATCTGACGATTTAGAACAAGTTCCCTATGTGAAATGTGTAGCGAGTTTCACCGGGTTCACTAGATCGCATCTTAGTGGGAATTCGGGAGAAAACATGGACGGGATAGCAGTAAATTGAGGGGCGGAAGCAAACAGAAAACCATTTTTCACATTATGCTAAAATATTGGGTTGCCAAAATAGATTTTCCTGTTCTTCTCGTAGAACAGATTCACATTTTTGGTTAATGCAAAACTATGGTGATCAGTACGCACAAGTATTCCTCCTTCTGAGACACCAGGCTCTAACAAGTCTGTGGCAAGTGCTATAGTATTTGCATTGGACGGATTCGTGACTTCATCGACCATGAAGAATAAAAAGTAAAGAGACGCTAATATTACTCGGAAAAAGACACCTAATTTTGAAGTAGTCTAGCTGTTAACTAGAAAACAGTGAAGTAATGTCTAACACAATGGAGTTAATTTTCCAGCTTATCTTGAGAAATTATCAGTGCATATCGTGGGTTCATTGTATATGTATAGGATTTTATGATGTATTAACACTGATCGGATCATTCCTTGGCAATGCTCTAAATAATCACTAGTTTTGTAGTTTTCTGTTGGTTTTTGAACAACATTCTCTTTTTTAATAACAATCGAAGTCAAGAGAGATTATTATGGTTTATTGGTCATGGAATGACCTCTGTGTAATTATAATACTTATAAATTGACTATAATTAAGTGCACTGAATTCACTCGAGAAGGAGGAGAGGGAAATCTTACAATTTTCTTTATCCATAGTATGCATATTTAACTTAAGCTAAAACTATATTGAGCTGAAGGTTATAGAAACCGCGGGTTTTGGAATTTTTCACCCAGATGCTGAGATAAAGTCTCTCAGAAGCATTCGCAGGTATAAATTATCCATTTTATTAGGTTAATGTGTGATTTTTTAATTCACAGTTTAAAATAAACTCAAATTTTGACTTTCAATGCCTTTCAAACGTATCGTGACTAGAAAACAACTTAAATACTGACGTACAATGCAGTACAAAAGTCTGTCGCTCATCTAGGAGTTATCGAAAGATGAATTCTATGGATCATTTGGTGAGATTAAGCTATTGGAGCCACCTTAACTGACCTTACGGATGACGTTGAGAGATTAATATGGACTAAGGAGCAATAAAATTAGCAAGATTGCGAAGCGGATGGATATAGATCCTTGTGTTCTCAGATTCTCTTATATTCCTGACTCTAATTTTTTTCCGCATATCGTTGAATATTCGTAAGGCGTGGTTAACGTCGACACTGCAGTTTGTTGTTTAGAAGTCGTTACCCATTGAATGCCATTCATCTGAATTTCTTAGTGTAGAATATTTGTCTGTGTCATTATTAAATCCCACTGTCAAACTGGATGTTGACGATGGATACAGAAATCTTGTTTAGCATTCGTCTGTGAAGACCTACTGACTGACTCTATCCATGGGTCACTAGGATCGTAGCCTACACATGAAATGACAAGTAGTTGAGTTCTACTTTTGCACTTCCTACTGAGTCATTTTTGGAAATAGTCTGATTTCCAGCTATCCATAAAAATCGTATATATACTTCACGCGAATTTGTCTTCCGCTTAATGGTTGTAGGATATTCTCTGAAAGTTGCAGTAGTCAGAAGATTACGTTTTTCATCGTAGGCTTTTTCGCTTTATTGTTTACATTAGGTAGAGTTTAAGTGTTTTTTCAGGTAATGAGAATTTTACTCTACACATGTAGTTGTAAACCGTCGTCGATTCAGATACGTGGGACGTGCTTCTCAGGCCTAACCACCTTCTTAATCGACTACCATTGTCGGATCATTTAGGATATGTTTATAAAAGGAGTATGGGTGACAAAACTGAAAATGACGTCATTAAATGAAGTCATCAACCACTGGTTTGAAATACATAGAGTTGTATTAATTGCTTCATTTCTGTCTTGAGGACGCTGAGAGTCAGTAGTTGGAGACTCTTTGTGATATGACTGAGTTTCGTTTGCCCAGGTAGAGATGTATGAACCCCACTTCTGAAAAGCTTTACTTATTTACCCCCATTTATTTCCTTTGGACTCCCTTTTGCTCGAACATCATTATTTATTCTGTCCTCGAGAAGTGCAATGACATTTGTTTAGATTCCTGTCCAGACCTCTCAGTGAAAAATATTCACTAGAGATTAGCGTGGAAAACAATATAGTTTCCTTGGTATCTGTACATGTCTTTTACAATTTCAATTTCCTACGGGTATCAGCCGTTTTAACACTAACGGAACTTGCTGTTAATTAGTTAAGTGCATAGTTATCATGGAGTTAAACTTACTGCACATATATAGGCTTAGATAGTTGAATGTTGCTGCCACCACTTTCTAAGTACATGTGAGTATTCGCTTTTGCACAGCTACTAAGCTTTTCCTCTCATTGCAAAACCAAACTTAATTTGTGTCCCAGATCATACTTATTGTCATCAAGCCTGTCATTGCCCTTATTTTCGATTTCTCTATTGGTATTTTTAGTGACATCAATTCAGAAACACACCTCATTTAATTTAATCGTATGCCCTATTGTGTTGTTAAGTCTTCATACTGTTTCGATACGACCCATTAGGTGTCTATTATGTTGTATTTCCCAACCATGTTGTTTTGCATCTTGTTCAATATTCAGTAGTACTGCTTATGAAGAGTACAGCTGAGTTATTTAAACCCATTGATTTATGTCCACATAGACAGTTTTTAATTATTTTTCAAATCCTTGTATTTATCTTAAAAGTTTCATAAACGCGATTACACCAAGACATGGTATTAATCTATGAAGTTTTTGACTTGTATAAATAAGAATCACTAACTGTTCGGTTTCTCGAAGCCTGTACGATATCTTTCAAAACTGCGACCTAAGAGATGAATCATCAGTACCCGATGTCGTCATATGTATAGTGTTGTGGCTCATTAGCTTAGGATCTCGGATTTTAGCTATTGAATCCTGGGCTCGAATTGCGCTCCAAACACTTTAGCTTGAGCAGCTGGGTAGCTTCGTAGCCCTTACCCAATAAACGCTGTTCATGGCCTAGTAGATGTAAAATGTTGCAGGTAGCTGAGTTGCAACTAGCTCACTGTCTACTTTCTTTACTGTTATGATGATTGCATTATTTATCTATATTTGATCATCAAAATTGTTGGTCTGTTTGCTTGGTAGTATGTCACATATCACCTGAAATGAAATATCAGTGTAAAGATAAAAAACGGACGGAAGAAATAATCATAGCAGAACACTCGAAAGTTTCCACATTTTATTTATTATCATTCTGATGTAGAAATAAAACAGCATTCCGGCCCAATTTTAGGTGGTTTCGACTTGGATCCATAGTCGATAGTCTCAGAATAGTGTTCTCTCATCTATAGGATCTGATTTATAGGTTTGGCATACAGCAAGATTTATTAACTTGAAGTATTTATCACCTGTTTCTGGGCATTCCACTGTCTCAAACATGTCTCAGCGTTGAAGCATAGTGTTTTGAGATAAATGAAAGATTATTGCTGGCGTTGTAAATTATTTTACACCTCATTTGAGCTGTTTAAACGGGATATGTAATATGATTCATCAGAAATAACTAAAATATCCAGTGCTACCTTCGAAAAAAGGACCAACACCACTACTTTATAACGATGACCAAATCTAACACTATTAGGTAACTTCACTGTTTATTTTGAGCGGTAAAGGTAGTGGCATCACTTTCCTGCCATAAAAAGTGTTCTCATATAATTTTGCAGACACTTGTGAATTTTTTGAAAGCCCTTCTCTGTGCTAAATTATGCCAACAAGTTGATGACAGCTCTGTCTGAAAATGTTATTAGTGTGATTATTTCCATAGTTATCTTTGTCCTTAAGTAGACAACTATTGTGCTGCTCTTGCAGCATATGCTGTGTATTTGTGTCAGTAGTGTACTTTGTACCTGCAGCTCTGCTACCTGGAGATACAAAACACCTTCGACTACTTCGTCGTTCAAGATTTATCATTTATGATTTTTTTAATGATTCAAAGCATGTGACTTTATGTACCGAGTTGAAAACTGGTGTACAGATATCACGACTCCTGTAGGCTGTTTCTACGGAACGTTAGAGTACAGTTTCTGTGGTTCGTAATTCCCGTGGTATTGGAAAATGGTCAATTTCATTTGTTACTTTTAATTTGAATCTCCGTCAAAATTTTATGTCTCATTCATGACTAATAACATATACGGTATTAATAATCTTGTTACTTAGATGACAAATTTCATTAATTTCAAGGATCAATATGATGGTTAATTCATTCCTTCATTTCTGTATTTTAGCTTATTTGGATGTAAACTGTCATGTTGGCTACTTATGTTACATGGAGTATTCTTAACATCTACATGTTTTCCTTTTGGATCACAATTTGGTTTTTGAACTACTGCGAAGCTTTCGGTCAGTCGGTATATTTATTTTAAACTTTTGTTTTATCTATTTTTTGATGAGTTACTGTTCCCAGACACTTCAGTGTCTACAAGTGTACTCCAGTAGATTTATACGTTGGTCGTTCAAAATAATTCTTCGAATTCGTAATTATAAAGTTAATCACAAGTCATTATTGTAAAATCCTTTCAATATACATGATTCGAAAGCAGCTTAGTGTGACCACTAGGGAATAAATGGTTTGAAGATGATGATTGGTGAAACTTATGACATCTCAAAATTGCTAAATAGCTGCTGTATTTTCATTCAGAACCACTTAGCAGTTCACAGTAATTATCACCTGATGGTGGTGATGATCAACAGTCCATAACTGAAGACAGTGTTCACTGCTCCATGTCTAAGAAGTCGTGGTCATGGAATTTATAAATCATCTACGTTACGGACCTACTTTGTGTTGCTTTTGCTAGACGATTATTATTTATTTTATTCAGACACAACTTGGTGCAATATAGCACCAAGAAGATGCGCCACACAATAATAATAAAACAACATAGATTAAATGTAAATATGTAGGTAGAGAATGGATAAAGTACTTGATTTGGGAGGAAAACAGTCATTTAACAAGTTCAAACAGCATTCGTCAGTTATCGTCGGAAAGGGAAGAAAAAAGGAAATTGCAGCACGTTCGCCATTGAATGAGATTCTTGGCCATATCCGATAGCGTTTCGAGCCACCGATTTGAGCTACCTTTCGGTCTCCAACCAGGGAGTCGTGACACACCAACCGAAGCTGACCACCTCTCTGCTTTTTTCAACCTGTTCCAAGGCTAGCGAACAGAGACTTGTACGAAAGCCTCTGGGATAAATTCGTAGCACATGTCTAAGCCACCAAAGCCTCTGTGAAAACACTCAGCGAATTGTGATCTCCACTGTGTCAAGCACACGCCGCCGGACCTCAGAATTACTCACGCGATGATGCCATCGAACGCTAGCAATCCAGCGGAGACAGTGATGATCGAATACACAGAGTCGCCGCACATCCTCAGCTCAGAGATGCCAGGTTTCACAGGTGTAAGGCAAGACAGCACGCACCGAAGCACTGTAAACCCGACCTTTGACAGCCAGGCTGATGTCGCGACGGCGTCAGAGATGGCTCAAGTTAACGTATGCCACCCTAACTTCCATCATACGGTTGTAAATCTCATCCGTCACCCTTCCACCAGAACTTGCACAATTACCCAGATTCACAAACTTATCAATAACTTCAGGCAGTTCACCTGCAAAAGTGAGTGCAGGTGCAGGCGCCTGCCAAACTTGTAACAGTACTTTGCACTTAGACAGCGCGAAGCACATACCGTGCTTACAGACACTGATCGCCAATTGATTAAGTGCGATTTGAGCAGCTTACATGCAGTCATGACATGGATAATAAGACGAGCTGTAAGATAAGTGTCTTATTATCCAGAAAATTTGAATTAGTTGATTCCTTTTAATCAACAGGATGTAGAAAATCTTTAAGTGTATGGAAGTAATTCCAAGAAGGTGAGATTTATGATTAGATCTAAGCAGACCTGTTATGACTACAAAAAGTATCTAGACATAAATATAATGTTTCTTCATAATAACCAGACTGAACATTATAGAGTTATCAGTGAATGTGATGTTTACAATAAATATGTGTACTGTTTATTTTGTTGAAACGTCGTTATTCAGGTTAGAGAAAAAATTATACTTAGTCGATTTTCATTTATGGCAAAAGCTTACAGACTTTCTCACTAACTAACTGATTGGCGTCATAAGATTATCAAATGTGTATTTGTTAGAGAATGGTTGTTGTTTAGACTCAGTTTCCGGAACGCATCTATCATAATCCAACTTATTGCTCAGCAGTTCGCTCCGTCCTTCTCTATGGTGGTGAGACGTGGCCATTAAGAGAGGAAGACATGAAAAAGTTGACTGTTTTTGATCATAGATGTCTATGATCTCTTTCTCGCGTTAGGTGGTATAATAAAGTAAGTAATGTTGACGTTAGGCGTAGAGTGTCGGGCAAAGAGGGAAAATCAATCGAAGAGGCTATAAAGTTACATAGATTGAGATGGCTAGGTCACGTGCTGCGCATGCCTAGCCATCGCCTCCCCCGACGGACGGGCATTACTAGCTGATATAGGTGCAGGTTGGAAAAGAGTAAGTGGTGGCCAAACAAAAACATGGCAGCAATCCATGAAATCCCTGACAGTTAAACTGAGTCAGGTAGGGAGGGAGATGCAGACTTCCGGGTTGGGGCCCTCGGGACTCTAAGAATCAATGGCTGAAAACAATAGGTGAGTGACATGGCTGAAAATCGTTGTCAATGGCTAGTGCAGATGTATTCAGTCTCTGTAATCTTTCATATTCGTTTCTACCATTACTCATTCTGTTTCACTCTTATACTTGTCAAAACTCTATTGATTCTTTTCACTCATTTTCTTGTCTACCTTTGTGTGCTCTTTGGAACATGGCAACTGGAACTGCTGCACTTCGGTGCCAAGTTCTATGTTGAATCCAGCCAGCCAGCAGCAATCCAACTTATGAATGACACTACCTAGTTTCCCAGGCTGAAGTTTGTGGAACGAAATTTAAACCCAAAAACCACCGGAGAAGTCCTAGACAAAAGTGTGTGTGTGTGTGTGTGTTAGCCTTTGGCCTTCTAAACTCTCATGTATTTCGATCAGTGAAGTAGTTATCGTGTGCCACAGCCCACTGTAATATGGTTGGTGAGTTCATTTACTTTCTTCAGATTATTGATATATGGACTTCTGTTCCAAGTTTTCATCATTTGACACAACCTCCTTAAAAAGAGAACTATTTCACTAGTTTCTCGCTCATTTCCGTAATTTATTGATTGGATGCTTCCTTGAACTGACTCAGTATCATACCTAAATCAAGATGACTGTCAATTATCACATAATGAGAAAAGATTCAAGAACTCAGATTATAAGTACGTTTAATATGCTTTTGGAGATTAGTTAACTTAGATTCAATGTGAATTAACGTACATATTAGTTTTCCCGAAAAATAATCTACCATAGAGTTATGCTCAATTTCCGCGTGTTTGCATCCGTCTTTAATGTTTTCTATTCGATGCATTCATCACTTATCATGCTGGTGTTTTTCTCATGCATTTTATCGTATTACTCCTTTTTCTCCTAACCACTACTGCCATCTTATGGTGAATTGTGCTTTAATTACTATTAGAGAATTAAATAATCGTCATCATTATCGTGAAGTTTAATCATTAGGAATGATTTATCAAGATTTATAGTGTCCAGTGATTGATAAAACAGAAAGTTGTAAGAAATTACTTAGATTGTTACATACATAAATCTAAGCGTGTTTTTCAACCCCCTCCCCAGCATTGTATATTCAAACTGAATTAAAGCTTCGGTTGAATAACATTGGTGATAATGATGTTTGACACATGCCCTTGAAACGTTCAACAGTCAAAAGCTCCAGGATAGAAAATGTTCTCATTCTACCGAATCCTAAGTACTTTTCACCGTTTGTAAAAGTCGTTTTTATTAATAATAATGATTGGTTGGAGGATTTCATTATGAGCTGACATCACTTAGAGAACCATTGGATCGGGTCCCATTGGTTCAATGGTCTACGAGCTCGCTAACCTTGTAACCAGAAGATCCTCGGTTCGAATCCCAATGGGTGCCTACTGATGAGGAGTCCCAAACTAAGACGAAACAGCTGTCCAGTACTCCCAGGTTTTCCAGTGGTTCTCTAACTGACATCAATCCGTGGTCAAACTCGTAAAAACAAATATAATCCTTACAAATCAACTCTTGAAGATGACTTTAGCCAACCTCCCGCAAAAATCGAAATGTTTATCAACAACAGTTTCAGTTAGTTAGATCAAAAGCTTTGTAAGTCCTACTTAATGTAGCATAGGCCCTTTTGAGAAGTTTAGGGAAAAATAAGGGGTGGGGGAACGATACAGAAGAATGGGTAGAATATATGAGTTAATAAATTGTAAGGGAATAGGTTGAGGCATGTCTGAAAGTCTCAACTTCCTTATGTAATAAGTCAAACGAAAGATTTTCGTAGAAATCAACAAGATCAGAGACGACTATCAAAGATTTGAAGAGAAACTGATAATAATGTAGGTTATATTCGACATATTTCCTACCATAGTACAGTCGATATTACGGGAATCATGACACTGAATCAGTCCACGGAAGTCTTGTTTACAGATACACGAACTCATATGAGTTCGGCTTATTTGCAGTCAATAATTTCATCAAAAAAAAAGAAGTGAGCTTAAAAACTGTAGATCAGTCCTTGTATCAAATATTGCCACTTTGAGCATGTTTGAAATGCTTACATCTCATTCGTCATCTGACAAATGACGTTTTTAGGATTATTTTGCAAGACAGTTATATTTGATAATATGAATATGGATTCAGTAGTTTCGAAAGTTGTGTATTCGTATACATCAGTCTATGGGTGCTATTCTACTTATAATCATCAATATATGCTGATGAAAAGTCCTAGAATAAAGCAGTGTAATTGTTTTGAATTACTTGACCTATTTATAACACTTTATTGTATACCTGGTACAGAATAGTGCTAAGTTTGTCCGAATTTCATTCTATTATCATTAATTGGTGTCGTATATATATATATATATATATATATATATATATATATATATATATATATATTAACGAAAACTAAATAGGGGGAAAGTTTTGGTCGATATTTCCTTTTCAACCTTTTGGTTCTTTTTCCATTTCAGTAGATTTTCATGCTTCCCTCTCTCTCTCTCTTTCTCTCTCTCCCTCCCCCCTACTCTATCCGTTTTATTCATCTTTTTCTTTTGCATTGACGCACAAAGGCGTGCGTGTGTGTATTTGTATGTGAATCTGTATGTAATCATGCACACATTTAACTGTATTTGTTAGCTTATTTATTATTATTATTTTTTATTGTGTACATGTATGAGACATACCTGCTGTCTTTGTTCTTATAATAACAAACAATACTAATACCAATATTCTAATAATGACAATAATAATAATTCCCCCTCTCTGCAGATTTCATGATGCCTATCTTTATTTTCCTCTTTTTGCTATCTGACTCATCGTTGGTCATCACTTTTTACGTATCATCTGTCAGGGTGTATGTATGTTTACCTTAGCAACCTGTATTGATTGGTCTTTTAATGTACACAGTATAAAGCAGCGATTGTCTCTTACCGTTGATGATACTGTGTTGTATTATCAGTTGCATTTTTTAAAGGTTATCTATGACACCTTATTACAACAGACGATATATTCCGCCATTCACGTTAAGAAATAGTTTTTGTATGTGTGTCGTTGGTTCAGCAGTGGAATGCTGCTCGTCAAGTATGCGCGTGGTTCAGATTTGATTTTTGGCCGACATACTCCTAAACCTCACTTAAGCGCGGTAAAGAAGGAAGGTTAGACATGAGGCTGAAGACCCTACTGCGTAAAGAACAATACTATTGCTACTGAAGCTGGACGACCGATAAGAAGACTCTGGAAGATCTGGATTTCGCAGATGATATATGTCTAATGTCACACAAACTCGAAGACTTGCAAGCGAAAACCAACAAACTGGCAGAAGAGGCGGACAGCGAAAACAGGATTCCAGGTGAACACAGAGAAGACGGAGGTGATGAAGATAACCAACCATCACCAACAGCAACAACAATTACCATCAACGGGGGAGATTTAACAGAGGTTGCCTCCTTCACTTATTTGGGAAGCATCGTTTCAACTACAGGCGGAACGGACGAAGATGTCAAAGCCAGTCAGAATCGGAAAGGCAAGATACGCCTCCATCAACCTGAAACCAGTTCGGAAATCTTCTGCACTAACTCAGCCAGCATAAAGAACAAGATTCGCATTTTCAACACCAATGTCAAGTTGGTTTTTCTATACGGGTCAGTAACTTGGCCAGCGTGTCACGAAAAGGATTTCCATTATGTTGCCTTCGCTCCGTACTGAATATCAAATGGCCAGAAAGAATAAGCAACAAGAAACTCTGGCTGGGAACAAACCAACAGGCAAGAGCCGATCGCTCAACAAATATGTAGGAGAAAGGGGAGATGGATCGAGAATACATTGAGGAGGTCACCGAATGACATCGCACACCAGGCTCTCGAGTGGAATCCAAATGGGAAGCGATGGGTGGGTCGTCGGTGCGAGGGTGACATGGAGGAGATCGTGTGAGGAAGAGATGAGAGAGTTTAGTCAATCCTGGACCCAACTGAAGAGGATGGCAGAAAATAGAACAAAGTAGAGGTGTGTTGTTGAAGCCCTATGTTCCGAGTAGAACAAGTAGAACGCTTGAAGTCGTCCTATGTTCCACACAGAATGTATCGTTAGAGAATGTCTATAGTCACATCAGTAATAATGGATGCATGGATTGTTCACGTGACCTAACTCTATATGTTGAAATCTGTTGAATGAGTCGGTGACATAAACTTTAAAGTAAAGTGGTATTTACATCTAGCGAAGTCATTGATTCAGCATTGTCTACAATAAACACAGAGTTTTAAGCACAATCATAAGTGTGTTTGGTTAATGTGAACCACTAATAGTTATTGTGACTGTAGTTTATCTTGAGTGTAATACGTGATTGCAAAGGAAGGTTGTATTGTCTGTGTCCACAGGTTCATTGTTGAACATGTTATCAATGTGTAAGTGACAGGAGATTTGCCTACTAGCCGATTATGAAGATAATAAAAATAATTGTTATTATAATCACTTTATAGCAGTTCAACTTGACACTATGTGAGTCCATGTATGACCATTAATACAAGATAACTTGTCTTCAATCTCTATTCAGTATATATTATCTTCATATTAATCTCCCTTAACAATGTATAATGAATAAAAAGTGTATATCTTGACAATGTGAGGAGTTGTAGTGCTGTACTTTGCTAAATTCCTTTATGTTACAATCAAGTTTAGTTAAGTTACAGATGGATTCAGCTAAGGGAGATTTTCATGGGTGAGGATAGAATTAATCGCAAGGGGTTTTCGGGTATAGTATAACAAACATCACAACAGATATTCCAGCTGTGTTAAAAAGTCGACGGAACACCTTTAATAAAACTGCCAAAGGTAATATCTAATATGATTACACAGTATTCACTTAAGCACTTAATACAAATTCACACAGGAAGCAATTACCTGTGGAAGCTTAAATCGTAATTGACCGTCTCTGTTCTATCCGTTCATGTAGACGGAAATGAAAGGCAGTTAAATTTCTCTTGGCGATAACTTAATATACTCACCCGATTTTCATTACATGGTATACTTGGAAAAATAAACTTTTATGTTAATTCAATAAATTTACTTTTTATAAGATATTACTTATGAGGAATTGTATTGATGTAAGCTGTAGCTTACTGGTTTGAGCTACTTTGATTTCGTTAAGGTGAACAGATAGATGCGTCTTCTCGTTATTTTGAGGTGTTGGTACCCAGGGATTACCATTTATTATTACTATTGTTTCCTTTAATTCCTAGAGGAACACAGGGCTTCAGCCGTGCGTCTCCATTGCGTTCGGTTCTCTGCTAGAGTCTTCACCTGGCTCCAAGTCTGCCCACACGTTTTCATCTTCTCTTCATATGACCTCCTCCAAGTCACCCTTGGACGACGACCAACTCGCCGCTTCCCTTTCGGGTTCCACTCCAGCAATGGCTTGTCTAGTGATGTCACTTGATGGTTTCCTCAGAGTATGGCCAATCCATCTCCATTTCTTCCTGCCTATTTGTTTCACAATCGGTTCCTGCTGGATTGGTTTGCTCATTGCCAGAGATCTCTGTTGCTGATGTTTTCTGGCCAGCCATCTGATCTTGAGTATTGAGCGAAGACAGATGTTGATGAAGGTCTGTAGTTTGTTTGAGATGCTCTTTATGACGCGCAGTGCAAGTCTCTGATCCGTATAGTAGCATTGACTGACTTCACATTGGAGTTGAAAATCTGGATCTTATTTCTCCTTCATGCTGAGTGCTGTTGACCTCCACACAGACTTGAGAGTAGTGAAAACTTGTCTTGCTTTTCCGATTCTTGCTTTGATATCCTCGTCAGTTCCGTCCAGCTGTAGTTGAAACGATGCTTTCCAGGTAGGTAAAGGAGGTTGTTTCTTTCAGGTTCCTTCGATTTATGCTGATTGTTGTCAGTTGTTGTTGTTGCTGTTGGTGGTGTTGCCCAGGAATCTTCATCACCTCTGTTTTCTCTACTTCACGCATTGCTGCAAAAAAGCACATATGATTACTTATTTGCGTCAAACTGTTTATTCAAGTTTGAGTTATATACGCGTGGGGATTTCCTTTTTTCCCAACCTTTGTTGTTTATTTACAGATACTATACAGTGATAATTTAATTTAAAGTTTTATTGTATATCATATTTTCTCTTTTTGTTAATGCAGTTCTACCCGAATTCCAGTCTCTACCTGAGTCAACTGTCTACTATACCGGTAGTGAAACACTTGAAATATGCTGCGATATTTGGCCGACACGGCCTATAGGTCACGTAACCTACTATTCAACATATCATTTTCCGTATTCAACTCATGTAAATACTTCTGACCAGCTACCCACAAAACATATAACCATGCCTCAAAGGAATTTGTATCGTATGCCTCCCAGTCTCTTGTGTGAACACCATCCATCAGATGGAAATAAGCCACAGTCGTCAATCAATTGCCTTTGCTTTTCAAATGCTTCTGTCGTTGAACAGTTTTCAGGTGAAGAGATTTACTGTCTGGGTAGCAGCGATTTTGGTTCAATTTTAAGTCGACCATTTCAAGTATTATTGAAAAGTGAGTTGAATTTTCATTTATTTCTAGAATTGTTATTGTGTATAACCAGTACTAATTTCATGCGTGAAGAGAAGCACTATTTGACGCGGAAATCACTAAACTCCATGCAATACTGAACTTAAATACATCATATCGCTATCAGTTACCCTTACAGAGGGGTTCATTAGACCACTGTTGGTTCTTTTGAAGTATATAATTGTTTTTGTTTATTGCGATTTTTCTCTGTTCTTATATGCATATGACAGTGAGAAGTGGGAAGCCTTTTAGAGCCGACTTTAGTGACGAGAACACGACAGAGTGGCGTCTCCCTCTATTTTAAGTTTGCTGTAAAACCAACCACATATACTGTTTCTGACGCTCAGGGAACTGTAAAAAGTTGTCCACGGATCGTGGCAGTTCTTCTTACACTTAATGAATTTACAGAAATGCATCACTTTAGGCGCGAAACCCAAAAGGATGCAAAAGCACCTTGAATATACAGACTAACAAGAGGTACTTCTAGTAATTACGAGCTATGATAGGCAGGAAAAGCAAAGTTAGTGGAGAAACTGCCTACGATGAGCAATGTATGATAACTGTTTAGTTTAATTAAAGACGCTGAAGTTGCTGCTGCTGCTGCTGGATTCAACATAGAACTTGGCACCGAAGTGCAGCACTTCGAGTTGCCACGTTCCAAATAGCACACAAAGGTAGACAAGAAAATGAGTGAAGAGAATCAATAGAGTTTTGACAAGTATAAGAGTGAAACAGAATGAGTAATGGTAGAAAGGAATATGAAAAATTACAGAGACTGAATACATCTGCGTATGCCATTGACAACGATTTTGAGCCATGTCACCTATTGTCTCCAGCCATTGATTCTTAGAGTCCCGAGGGCGGGCCCCAACCCGGAAGTCTGCATCTCCCTCCCTACCTGACTCAGTTTAACTGTCAAGGATTTCATGGATTGATGAGGCAATGTTTTTGTTTGGCCACCACTTACTCTTTTCTAACCTGCACCTATATCAGGGGCGATGGTTAGGCATGCGCAGCACGTGACCTAGCCATCTCAATCTATGTAACTTTATAGCCTCTTCGATTGATTTTCCCTCTTTGCCCAACACTCTACGCCTAACGTCAACATTACTTACCTTATTAAACCACCTAACGTGAGAAAGAGATCGTAAACATCTGTGGTCAAAAACAGACAACATTTTCATGTCTTCCGCTCTCAATGGCCACGTCTCACCGCCATAGAGAAGGACGGAGCGAACTGCTGAGCAGTACACACGTCCCTTGGTTGATAGCCGGATGTCACACCTACGCCACAGACGGTGTAAGTTAGCGAAAGCAGCTCGAGCTTTTTAAAGAAGCTGAAGTTAGTAAACTGAGGTTTATCGAGGCCATATATGAGAAGAATAAGAAGATTTGTTAGCTATGTACTATGCTGGAAACCTCATTCGGTTAATAATACGATCAAACCCAGAGCCTAATGTCACCATAGAATCTATTTTGAAATCAACCAAATCTCCTGTAAACCATCACTTTGAAATAAGAACAGTTTGTCAGGAAGTCACGGTGAGCAGAAAAAAAGATGGTAGGTGGTTTAAGTTGTGTAGGAAGGTGTCGATTGCTTGTCAGTGTCCGTGTGAACATAGGTATCCAAGATTGGGGACCTTGATCACAATGGTAAAGGTGTATTTATGCCTTATCTTTATCAGATCTCTTTTCTATTCTTCATTTCTTTCTATATCAGTTTGTGACTTTCTATTTTTTGTGTTTTTTTATTAGCGTAGTGACTTTTAAATGTACAGAAATCCATCTTCCTAGCTTCTTTCTTAATGTCTGTCTCGCAGAAGGCTGAATATATTGTCACGCTTTTTTAGGATGAGTATCATCGTCATGTCTTACTAACTGTTTAGCTGTCCTCCGTAAATTAGATTCGCGAAGGTCGTGCTATTAGTCTTCTCATTCATCCATTAGACATACATGTACAGGATAGGGATAGCTGGAGAATATACTCCAAGAGCGGTGGTCACCTACCAACTGTTTTCAAAAGAAACTGATAACCACATAATTTCTGTGAGTCTGTTGTCTCGTTGCAAGTTGAGATCCTGTTTATCTATGAGTTAAATTGATGTCAGCTAGCAGTATGGCTGAGTTTCGACATAGAACTATGCACAGAAGTGCACAGCAAGTCAAGTTTCCACACTTTATATAGCCGAGAAATGAGAGAAAAAGCTAAATTCAAAGAACTGTTATGAGCAGAAGTTCACAGAGAAGAAAGATTAGTAACATGACAAAAACGTGAGGAATTAATGGATGTTAGAGGTTCCAAAGAGTGAATTCATCTGCCCAGTGAGAACGATTTTAATCCATATCACCAACAGTCTCAATCTTTTAATCCTCGACGTTGTGAGGACCCCAAACAAGTACCTCCGTACGAGGCTCAAACCAGCTGTTAAAGACTTCATGGATTAGTGCCAGATTTTGATTCGACCGCCTCTAACTTTTTTTTCAGCCTAATCCTATGTCAGTTGACATTGCTGCACGTGCAACACATGTCCTACCCATCTCAATCGATGTAGCTTTACAATCCCATCGATTGACTTTATTACCCAGCATTCTAAGCCTACCTTTAATATCGCTCATCATATTGTACCACTTAACACTGGAAGTAAGAAGCAAACATATGTAATTAAGGACAACTTACTTTTCTACATATCCTACTTTTAATGGCATTGTCTCACAGCCATAAAGAAGGACAAGTTGAACTGCTGTGCAGTACAAATGTCCTTTGATGGATAGCCGGGTATCGTGTCCATGTCAGAGATGACGTAAGTAGGCAAATGACAACCTAGCATACATTTATATGCTCGAGCACAGTTGACGTCAACGGTCAACATTCTTCGGGTTACCTTAATCCACATATCTCAGTTGTTAGTTGCTCATAGGAGGATCCAATGAGCATCTTCCCCTTAACATGTCTCATAAAGTTCAGTTTTTGTTAACACAAAATTTTGAGTTGTCAATCATAAGACAAAACATTCTATAGCATTGATTTCAACAGTTTCTGGATAATCATTTACTTTAACTACTATACTTCATTCTGTTACTGTTGTCCAAGTAACTATACAAATACATATAGTGCGTAGAAAATACTTCACCTTGGACAACTGGAGGGTATCACCAGCCCTTATGCGAGAAGTATGGTTCTTAGCCTAGTACAATGAAAATCTATTTCGCGTAGTTAGACACAAACACCAACCATCGACTTCAATTGTCAACGTTACCTTACATATTATAATGTGTATTGAAACATGAAAGCAGTTACCATAGGAATCGTGTTTTTAAGTCTAACTAATAAACTCAAAATCCAGTTTAAAGACTATAAATATATAACACCGGTTATTAATTAGTGGATATAATTCCAAACAAATATAAACTATAGTTGCAAAAGGAACTAAATGCTTTCCTTCAAAACTCTGGTCTCAGTCATTATTGCTCACTAAGTACAAATACAATCAGTTGACAAGTCCCAAATAGGATGAAATGAGCATATTGGATCTCATTGATGACTGCCACCAGACAATTATCATCAAATTTGGAATGAAGGTTACATCAAAGCACCTGTTGAAGGAACCCACAGGATAAAATAAATCAAATTTCAAATGTGGAAACAGATTTTCCCAACACTTCAACTTTGAAAATAAAACCAACTAGTTAGAAATAAGACAAAGGTTTGTTGTTGATTCCTTAAGTTTAAGGATTCCTGTTCAATGTTTTCAAAAGACTCTCCATTTTATCAGCATCTTTACGTAAGTGGACAATATCATCTGCATACCCTAAGTCGATGAAACTAAACTCTGGTGACAAGTCAATTCCTAAGCTTCTGAAGTCGTTTAGAGTTAATTCGATTAATACACTCACAATGAAATGAAACAGAAATGAGGATGTATATATATTTATACAGCAAATGTTAATATCCAGTTTCCTAGTTTAGAAAAGAAGTCTTTCATATATGCATATGTATATATATACATGCCAACAAGAAAGTCCTATTTTTCCCTAACATAAACACTATATGCTTATGATTACCAATGTGTACAATGCTACAAAGCATAAATGATATCAGAATATATATATATATATATATATATATATATATATATATATATTGACAAAGGCATCCTTTTGATGTTGTTTTAATGATACGTTAGCTACGTTGTTTTTTCTTCTTCCTCTTTCTTTTCTTATACCGAATGCTATTCCTTCCGCTGACGTAATTACATAAAAAACGAGAAACAAGCGGGAATGACTTATTTATGCGTGAATAATACTTGTATATCTTTTGCTCTCTTTTACTTCTGTTTAAAGTATATGCATATATATATCTTTATCTATATTACACAAAAGAAAAAGAAACCCGTGATAATGCATACATTTATTTATTTATTTATTCTATAATGTCTTTTCTTTATTGCCTTTCACATTCCTGCAGAGGTATTTTCTGTAGGATAAATTTCCATTAAAAGTTATGCCTATATATATATATATATATATCTGACAATTATATGTCGATGAAGTAATTAAACACAGGAGGATAAGATAAGAGTAACTTTAAAAGATCAATTATATAGGTTATCTAAAGAAGTAAGTCCAATAATTGGATTATCCAAGGTGTTTGTTTATAAATTGGCAGTTTAGGTGAAATGATGCTTTATTCTTGGGGAGTGCTGAGAAAGTTATATATTGCACTAATCAAGGCACTCTACTCTCGAACTCATGAAGTCGTGTAAGAGCCTATGAAGAGTTGTCATCTGAAGTGATGACAGTCAGGGATTTCTGCAAGGGAGGGATGCCATATGTCCTTATTTCCGTTTAATTTCATCGTGGATGTATTAATGGAATTAAGTCTAAACAACTTTAAAAACTTAGGAATTGACTTGTTACCAGAGTTTAGTTTCATCGACTGAGGGTATGCAGATGATATTGCTGATAAAATACAGTCTCCTGGAAAC